GCAGTCACATGCAGTCACACGCAGTCACACACACACTCAGACCAACCAGCACACAGACAGGCACAGTCACACGCACGCAAGCCACCCAGCACTCAGACAGACATGCAGTCCAGCAAGGCTGAGCAAGCACACACACACACAGACTTCGCAGGCGGGAAATCAGTAGGCATTCAGTCTATGAGCAGTCACACGCAACTGATCTGTGTGTGTGTGTGTGTGTGTGTGTGTGTGTGTGTGTGTGTGTGTGCGCGTGACACTGTGTGTCTCTTAAACCCCCAGTCACACGCAGTCACACACACACTCATACCAACCAGCACACAGACAGGCACAGTCACACGCACGCAAGCCAACCAGCACTTAGACAGACATGCAGTCCAGCAAGCACACACACACACAGACTTAGCAGGCGGGAACTCAGTAGGCATTCAGTCTTTGAGCGGTGTGTTTTGAACCAACGACCTGTGTTTTAGTAGTGACTGTGCTTTGTCATAGGTCCCTGTGGTTGTAGGGATTCGATCTGTGGACCTGTCAAGAAGGGGTTACAACTGCGTAGAGGTCGAAACTGCTAGGCTAGAGGTCTGTAGGTAAGTTGCAGGTAAGTTGAAGGTGCAGACATTGGGATTCAGCTTGTTTGTTTTTACTTGTTGAAGGTTGTTGATTTCTTTTTCTTATTGTTTTGTTGTGTATTTCTGCGTTGTGTGTCAATTTTTGTTTTTGCTTTGGTGTCCAGGTTCTTTCTGCAGTTTCTGATTCTACATTTTTAGCAGTTCCTTTGCATTCTACTGTCGCTCTCTCTCCGATTCTGTTTCCTGCACCTGTTTCCTCTCCGATTTACGACGCGGTCTTTTTGTAGTGCCGACGTTTCAGCATGCCACGCCAGAATGGTAAGGATCCGGCGGACTCGTCCAATTCCGCCAGACAAGGTCACAACACGAAGAGTTTCGACTCGCCGTTCAAGGTTGATCCGACAACCGACGGCAAGAGAGACGACCCCGTCTGGCATTTCATCGCACGAGGTCGTTATTTGGATGGGTCCACTGCGGCGGGTAGAAAGAGTGGTCGTCGCTGCATGTGCAGGTTGTGCGGCCGTTCGATGTGCAGGGGCGCTAAGGCCGCCAAGGAACACTTTTCAAAGAGCGAGAATTTTCGATGTGAGGTGGCCACTCCTGCAGTGTGGTATGCCATCTGGTCAAAGGACATGACAAAATGTACGAAGGAGTTCGTATCGGCTATCGAGGCATTGCAGAGCTTATCTCACGGTCATCCGAACTTCCAGTGGCCACCGCTACGATACCCCGAGCACTCAGTGCCGCCCCTCGATTCCGCCACTGCCCCCTTGGAGACGGTGCCTTCGTCTAGTCCAGCCGTTCGAGTCACAGTGCCGCATTGAACGCCACCATGTCCACCAGCTCCAGCGTCTGCACCGCTGACAGGGACACAGGGTGCAGGTGGTTTACACGTCGGTCGGTCCGTGCCGGCCAATGAGACCCCTCCTGTTCGAGGGGGTGGGGGTTGTGCGGCGTTCGACGAACACAGCACACGAGCTTTTGTCGAGAGCCGCACGTGGGGGGGTGGTGTTGGCACTTCGGCTGGACGGGCTACCACTATTGCGGCCCCGGGCACACTTGCCCCTGTTTTTAATAGTGGAAGATAACCACATGCTGCACGGGCTACCAGTATTGCGGCCCCGGCCACAACTGATCGCAGTCCATCGGACCACCCTTGGTTGCCGCCTCCACCGTCACGAGTGGCACAGGTTGTGGCCGCCGGCCACATTGCTATGATGGGCAAACTGGAGCCTTCGCGCGTGGCTGCAGATGCTCGACAGCCTGCTTCCCTAGTTGGGGAACAGGCAATGCCCGGGCTGGGTGCTTCTGAGGTCCCCATTCCGGTGTCTGATTCGTCGCCAACCCCGCTTCCACCGACGACAGGTGTTGCTTCAGCTGCTCCACATGTACTTACCGGTTCATTGGATCCTTTGTACCGCATGCGCGACATTGCAGCGGCCCAGAGCGCGACACCTGAGAGTCCTGGTGGGTTGTTGGATGTCGGGATCCTTGGCGGGCCAGCCACGACGGGACGTGGCCGGGGCACCTTTCGCCAACAGGCTGTCACGTCGTATTATTCGGACCCTTTGGAGCACGCGTGGCATTTGCAGATCATGCGCTTCATCGTCGAGAGTGGGATGACGTTCAACTGCGTTAAGCTTGAAAGCTTCAAACGCATGTTCGCGATGATCATCCCGCCGCGGGTTCCAGGGGCGCCCACGCCCAAAGTACCCACGTACCACATGGTGCGCACATCCCTTTTGGATGAGCTGGATGCAGAGGTCCAAAAGTGTGTTCGGCCACTTCTTGACACGGCGAGAGAGTTTGGTTGCACAATCATGACCGACGGTTGGACCAACATTAGGGGTCAGACATTGTGCAACTACCTTGTCGGGACAAATTTGGGGGCAGCTTATGTGGCCACCGACGTCATGCACGGGAAGAAGGACGCCACTGCCCTTGCGACCGYGTGGCTGAAGAGGGTGAAGTCCAYGGACRTGGACTTGAGCGACATCACAGCGTTCGTGACGGACTCCGCCGGGGTGAACGTCGCAGCGATGGAGGTTTTCCAGAAGGACGAGAGCGTCAAACACATCTTCTGGATTTCATGCGTCGCTCATGTGATGGACCTCATTCTCGAGGACATCGGCGGGATTGATTGGGTGGCCACCCGCATCGCGTAGGCGAGGTTGGTGACGAGGTTCTTCAAGCCGCATGGCCACGCACGGGAGGTTTTGGAGGTCTTCTCGACGAAGACCCTTCTACTGCCGGCGGAGACTCGATTCGACACTAACGTCATCATAATGACGAGGCTTGTGGACCTCCGGGGAGAGCTCACGCAGCTTGTTGGCGACGACCGGTGGCGTGAGACTGTCTGGTCGACCAGCAAGATCCGCAAGGACGCCGCAGAGGTCACTGCCTGTATCGGGTCTCCTCCATGGTGGGAGGATTTGAGAGCTTTGTGCAAGATGCTGGAGCCTATCATGGATATGTTGAGGCTAGTCGATAGTGACACACGCCAGATAAGCAAGATTTTGCGTCGTTACGAGATTATGATCGCATCTTGCTTGTCTGCGTGCCGCGACCTCGATCGGGAGCAGCAGGACCCTATTTTGGAGGTGTTCGACAGGCGGCGCACCATGTTCCGGACACCCGCCCACACAGCAGCCATGTTGCTGGATCTCGAGTTCCAGAACGACGACCAGGAGGTGCAACAGGGATTGATCGAAGCCCTGGTCCAGTTCGGCTATCCAGAGGGATCGGTGCAGCACGAGGAGGTCCTTAAGGCGGTATTCAAGTTCCACACAAAGGAGCCTCCTTTCGATGATATCAACATGCGGCGATCGTTGGCATGCTACAGCCACCCTGCCAGTTTTTGGTCCGCGAAGAGTGCGAAGTACCCTCACACGACGTTCTTTGCCGATAGGATCCTTCGCATCTGGGCGACAGCATCACCATGCGAGAGAGCATGGTCTCGATGGAGCTTCATTCATTCGAAGTCACGCAACAGGTTGGAGGTTGCTCGAGCCGAGAAGCTCGTGCGGTGCCACTGGAACCTCAGGCTCATTGATAGACCGTCATTGTGTGACGATGCTCCTGCTAACTGACCCGATTTTTTCGGGAACTGGGTGCATTACTGGCAGGCTATGGAGGAGGAGGTGGCAGTGGACCAACAGCTTGTCAGAGGTAGTGGTGCACTGGCAAGGGGACCGAGGAGGAGTTGACTCACGCCAGAGAGAGGATGTGCATCGTTTCCCGCATGGGAGCCATGCGTCGGGTGGCGGAGTCCGACAAGAGGCGACGCAGGGGCGGGGCAGGTGGACGTGGCGGGCGTGGGCGAGCAGGTTTCGGAGGGACGAGGCATGGTGGCAGGACTGTTGCATCCGGGACTCGTCAACAGCGGGCGGACGGTTTCATCCGCAAGGCCCGCCAGCGTTGGGACGAGGGAGACTTCTTGTTCGACAGCTCATCCAGCGACGACGAGGATTTCTTTGCGTTGGGCACGCCCGCGCCTACGGACGATGAGAGAGGCGACGACGACGACAAAGGTGATGGCGGAGGTGGTGTCGGAGGAGGTGGCAGAGGAGGTGGCGGAGGAGGTGGCGGAGGAGGTCGCGGCGGAGGTGGTGGCGGCGGAGGAGGTGGCGGAGGAGGTGGCGGAGGCGATGACAAAGGTGGCGGAGGCGACGACAGAGGTGCCAGAGGAGGTGGCGGAGGAGGTGACGGAGGTGGTCGCGGAGGAGGTGGCGGAGGAGGTGGCGGAGACGACGACAGAGGTGCCGGAGGAGGTGCCGGAGGAGGTGGCGGCAACGAGGGAGGTGACGACAGAGGTCACAGAGGAGGTGGCGGCGACGCGAGAGGTGACGACAGAGTTGAGGGGTGTGAGGGTGACTTTCCTGTGCGTGGTCGTGGGTTCTTCTTGAAGCGGTTGAGACATGGTCCCAAGCAGGATAACAGCATCGGCTCTCGTGTGCGCAGGCGTCGTCTTGAGACTCTTCACGATGTGACCGCCACGGACGCACATGTTGCGCAGCACGAGCAGGTTCTCGTATCTGAGGACTCCCTGGGCAACACATCGGACAAGGACTTCATTCCTCAGACTTCCGACGTGAGGGGCACTGACTCCGTTGAGCATCAACCCGGTTTCGTAGAGGGCCCGACCAAGTCTGCAGCGGCGATTTCAGCGCAGGAGGAGAGTGGAGCAGGGTTGACTTGTCCCGAGCTTGCGGCGCCCATTGCAGATATTGTGATCGCACAGGAGTCCCATCGCCATCTGACACAACCCACGGTCGCGGTTCATGCGGAAGCTCGAGGAGGGGCAGCCAGTGATGGGCAGACAATTCCCGACGGTRCAGGGAATGTGCCACCTCCTTCCACCRTCGTCTRCACGGGCGCCCACGGGGCACCCAGCGTCGCGGTCCCCTCCATAGGCGAGGTAGCACATCCTCCCACGRCTGACRTTGGATTGGAGGACGGAGAGGTAGCACATYCTCCCACGGTTGACACTGGTTTGGAGGACGGAGAGGTTGCACGTACTCCYAGTTGTGCCCATGAGGGAGAGGTTGCACGTCCTGYCACGGTCAACCAYGTTGGCCTCGCCTRCCCCGCTGACAGTCTTCCGCCCACTGCGGAGTTGCTCGCCATGGACTCGGCRTTGTTTGATCTTCCTRATGTATCGACTTTGATTTCTCCCACTTTRGCATTTGTGGCACCACCAGCGACTGGTCGAGCGGATGACGCGGATGGAGTGCGTAGAGGATTCGACGAGTTCGYYGGCGACACGATATTGCATCCCRCASTCTCCGCCACTCCCGCCGTTTTTCATGTTGGGGCACCGCACGCGGTGGACCAGGGTTTGGCKCARCAGGTGGCACRGAACCGCYGTGGCGGCCCTCGCGTCGCGGYGCRACGCAGTTTGGGAGATTCATTTGAGAGATTGGATGCAGAGTATGCGGCGCAGRAGGGTCATTGTGCACAGGATTCCGCACSCGATGGGTCATCATTCCCGRYAGTCTMTCAGGAAGACCCRCACYCAGRCCCGCCACGTTCGRTGCAGGAGACRGCTCMCGACRTTRTYGCCGCSGACGTGGACGAGGAAATGCGCAGGGATGGTACCGTGCGCGTCGCAGCRCAACGCAGTCTGGCACRGACATTGACCACAGATGGTAGCGTGCCTGCTCGCAGCACTGGGTCGCACTACGAGCATAGAGGGTCATCGGCCGCACAGCCTATCGCTGAGGGGGCCATCGCACGTGGTGTCGAAGGCGAGCATAGGGGTCACGCGCCTCCGCACCCCSATGGCGCAGACCYTRTCGTCCACGGTGTGGYGGYGAGCACCGCATTGYCGACSGTGTCGTTCTACGACGGCGTGACCAGGGAACGGAGGGCGGGCGATGAGGGACATGCATCAGMATGCGGACTGACAGATGTGCGTGCGGGGATGCGATCCATAGGCCGCGTCGATGGTGGTTGTCACGGCTCCATGAGAGCATACGAGGAGCGACATGGGAGGCCTTTGCGGGCCAAGACAACGGATGTCCATGACACGAGGACGGCGACCGCGAGGTTATCCCGGGCGAGGAAGAAGGGGACAGGTGCATCGATTCCATATCACCGTCGCCGTCCACCACCGACTTTTCACGCCGGAGCTCCGACCACACAGATTCCGGCGACTGGCGGGGCAGTGGCGGACGGGGGGACAGTCCAACGCCGTTCAGGGCGAGTCGAGAAGAGACGAGGCGATGGGTGATCTACCATGATGACAGCTCCACAGGCGCGGAGGCTGGCGAGACCACAGGCGCCGACGATCCAGGTGACTCCGATTACGTGCCCCGGCGCCCGGCGGCGGATGGAGATGATGGTGGAGGTCGACGCGTCAGGCAGAGGACTGGACTCGGCCCGCACGGGCAGGGGACGCCATCGGACCCTATACCGCCTATTGATCGACAGGCGCAGGCTCAATCTGTGATAGTCAAACTGTATCATTACCGGTTTGAGCCCTTGTAGCAGGATGCAAGTCTGTGACCGCCTATTGATCGACAGGCGCAAGCTCAGTCTGTGATTTTTGCATACAGGCCTTCGCAGCGGGGTGCAGGTGGCGACACGGGTTCAGTATTTAGGTGGCGTTGGGTTTTACCAGGTGGTGTTGGGTTTTACCAGTCAGTCAGTCCGGTCTACGTGTACGCTAGAGTAGTTGTAGCCTGTAGTGACTGTAGACTGCAGTCTATTAATAGGTTAGGCCCTTCGGTATCTCCGTAAGCCCGGGCTATATCGAGGCTCTACACTGTGTGTTCATGGGTGGTGGCAGCCATAGCTGCCTGGTACTTCGCCTGAGTTGTCCATCGGCACTGAAGACTTCATCGCAGGATTTGTTCTTCATCACGGTGGTTGGCGCTAGCCTCAGGGAGGTTGTTTTGATGTGGCGCTACTAACTGGGTGTAGGATAGAGAGTGGGTGTGAGTTCTGGGAGTGGCGAGATATTGGAACAAACTTTGTGACAATATTTTAGTTGAGTGGCTTATCATCTGTGTGATTTCAATTGCCATCCTCGCAGGTTCTTCTTGTGATTGGTTGTTAACTTGTTGGGACTCGGGAGTTTGTCAGAGAGTGAGAAACACTGCGTGTCTTCTGAGCTCTTCTCCCCATCTGTGCATGGTTGAATTCCGCTGTGTACTCTGATCTGTATGCAGTTTGGACTCTGTCTCCTCTTCCCCTTCTCTCGTGCATGTATGGGCGTGTATCAGACGGTCTGTGTGTGAGTGGCGGTAAAAATCGGTAGACAACCAAGTTCATAACACAGAATAAGGATTTTTTTTATTTTTTTTTTTAATTACACTGTGTTCTTCTCTAAAATTGTTTTTGCCTTTCACTACCTACTCTTGTGGGAGAGTGTTGGCCATAGGCCCATAGCCTTTGCTGCTACTCGATGAGGGGTGGGGGACAATGAGAAAGGGAGGCGCAGGCCGCGGAGCTACTGGCAAAATGCATGGTCTTTGCGTTAGCCGGCCCCCCACCGGCGGCCCCATCCCATCTCTGACTACCACTGTTGGGGCGGGGGGCAACATGATTTACCTCATTTGCGAGGCCCTATGCTTGTAGGGTACCCGCGGGGCCGCGCCCACCAACCCCCTCAAACCCACTAGGACCCCCAGTGCCCCCCACACAGGCTCCATCCACCTCCTCCATCCACCTCTTCCCTCCACCTCCTCCATCCACCTCTTCCCTCCACCTCCTCCCCCATTCTTCTTCTTCGTTTTTTTTTTCCCGTTTTGTTTCCTTGTTTTCCCTTCTGCAGTAGCAGCAGCACCTACTCGAGCTGCTGCTGCAGCACCACGAGTTGCCACTACAGCAGCACTTGCAGCATCACCTGCTGTAGCAACTGCAGTAACCTATAATGACGCAGCTGGTGCTGCTGCAGCAGCAACTCCTGGAGCTGCCACTACAGCAGCACTCGCAGCATCACCTGCTGTAGCTGCTAAAACAGCACATATTGCAGATGCCGCAGCTGCTGCTTCAGCAACACCTCTTGCAGTTGCAGCATCTGGTCTGGCAGAACGTGCTGCAGATGCTGCAGCAGGCCCTGCTGCATCCAGTGCGGCCGCCAAAGTTGCAGGGTACCCCCGGGGCCGCACCCACCAACCCCCTCAAACTCACTAGGGCCCCCAGT